CCCAATAATTCAGCTGTTCCTAATGATCATTTATCTTTGTCTACCATTTCGAAAGGTAATACTCATATTCAAAAGCGATTATATACATCGCTTGGTTAATGTCATGACTTAATTGTGGACACAGGCAGTATAGAGTCCATTATTTCATTCAAGAACTTGAAATCTTTAGATCCTAACGTTGTGGTACGACCCTGTGAGGTATCAATATAAGGGATTACTGGACACAGATTGCCTATACGAGGATGTTGTGAGTTGCTAATAAGAGATGATAATTCTTCATACATACCTTGTGAATTTTTAGTTAGCGAAACAGGACTGTCAATACTGGGCTTAAGGAATTTGAAAAGACCTAAAGTGGAGATGTCTTTCCTAGTTTCTAAAGAAAATTATGATGCTTTACTTAAAGATTTGATAGCTGTGTGTGCTAAGTGCAGTGGATGTATGAAAACTCAACCAATAGAACTTCACCTGCAGTGTGATCCAGTCATTCTTAAAAGTCGCGTAATTCCTTATGGTCTTCGAGATGCAGTACATAAAACTTCAAACGATTTATGTGCAAAAGGTATAATTGAACCGGTTCAGTCTACAGCATGGTGTACTCTTATTGTTACGCCACTGAAGTCGGATGGCAAAACCCCTAGAATATGTGGTGATTATAGATTAACATTGGATTCCCGTTTGTTAAAGCAGACGTGCACCACGGTAGAGGCTGAAGATATTCTAAATCGACTTCATGGTTCCAAAGTGTTCTCGAAAGTTGACCTAAAAGATGCTTATCTCCAAATCCCTTTAGATCAATCTTCATCTCTTTTGACGACAATTAATACTCCTTTTGGTCTGTTCAAATACAATTTCCTTCCATTTGGTCCAAGTTGTTCTCCAGCTATATTTCAGGAAGTCATGAATAATGTAGTTAGTGATCTTGAAGGTGTTGAAGTTTATCAAGATGATCTCATTGTTCATGGTTCTGATAAGGTAGTTCATAACCAGAGACTTATTGCTTTATTGCGCCGTTTAATTGAGAAGAATATTAAAGTGAATCCAAATAAGTGTTCATTTTGTGTATCTAGTTTTGAATGTCTTGGATACCTAGTTGATGGTAATGGTTTTAGACCAGATATGAAACGACTATCTCCACTGACAAATGCACCGTCTCCAAAAAATCTTACGGAACTACGTTCACTAGTTGGTGCTCTTCAATACTATTACCGTTTCATTCCTAATTTTTCTTGTCGTGCAAATTGTTTATTTAATATTTTGACATCCAATTTATTTAAATGGGGTGAGGAACAAGAGTCATGCTTACGTAGTCTACTGAAGTTTCTTCAAAGTGATGCTGTTCTTCGAATTTACTCCCCTAGTGTACAGTCTGTGCTTATCACTGATGCATCACCTGTGGGTATTGGCGCAGTTTTGGAACAGGAGGGTAGACCAGTTATTTGTGTTTCACGCAAACTTACTGTTACTGAACAAGGTTATTCACAGTCTCAGCGAGAAGCATCACCTGTGTGTTGGGCTGTTAAAATACTTCATAAATATTTATTCGGAAAGAAATTCACTATTGTTACTGATCATGAAGCTTTAAAGTTTATTTATCATCCTGAAAAATCCTTAGCACGTTCCTCAGCTGCTATGGTTCAACGATGGAGTATTGCTTTGAGTGCTTATGACTATACGGTTCAGCACAGAAGTGCCAAACAAATTCAACTGTTGACTACATTTCTCGACAGTCATTACAAGATAAACCTGTTAATACTTCAGACTGTTTGTTAGTGCAACTTTTACCAGTGAAACGTCCAGATCTCATTAGAGAAACTCGTAGATACTCTGGATGTATAATTAATGCTATACGGAAAGGTTGGAATGCTAATCTGAAACGTAGATTTCCTATCTATTTTTCAAAGCGGGATGAGCTATCTACTACTCCTGATGGTATTTTGTGTTTAAATGATCGTGTTTTTATTTCTCCTTCATTGCGTAAATCTGTCCTAGAAGATCTTCATAGTGGACATTTAAGTGTTAAAAAAATGAAGTCATTGGCGAGGCTCACATGTTGATGGCCAGAGATAAATGCAGATATTTGTCGTACAGCAAACAATTGTGAAGTGTCATAAGCTGAAAAATCAGCATTCGAAGTGGACTCCATGGCCAGTATCGTCTGAGGCCTGGCAGAAAATTCATGCAGACTATTGTGGTCCGTTTCTTGGCAAATACTATGCGCTTGTAGTTATTGATTCTTTTTCAAAGTGGCCTGAAGTTTTTTTCACAACTTCACCAAATTCTGACTTCACAATTCAAGCATTAAGATAAGTGTTTAGTCGAGAAAGGGTTCCAATGGTGTTAGTGACTGATAAAGGCTCTCATTTTGCTGCAGATGCATTCACTACCTGGTTAAATGGTATAGGGTGCAAACATCTGTTTACTGTTCCCAGACATCCTTGTTCAAATGGCCAGGCAGAAAATTTTGTCACGACGTAAAAAACTGCTATTGATTCTATTGCTGCCTCAAAATTTAATGAGCTGGAGAGGGGAGTAGATACCTTTCTACTGCAATATAGAAATGCCAGACATTCGGTGGCGAAAGAGACTCCATCAAAGCTATCAAAAGGAAGAATTCTTCGGTCGAATATGAGATGTTTGGAGTCTGCAGAAGTTACATATTATCGTGGCAATGATCTTCGACCATCCACGGGAATTGTTCTGAAGTATGTCGAGAAGTCTATGGTGCGACTTCTAGATATCAATGACTTATGTACACACAATCGACATGTTGATCAAATACAATTCCAGGAACCAGGTGAGTCTGTTCCGATTTCCGTTGTTAATTCTAATAATAATGGGTGCATTCTAGATAATACAGAGTCTTTATCCAATACATAGACACAGTATGAACTTGAGAAGAAGACGTACAATTGATTACAGACACTTAGACTCTAATTTAAGCTGTGGCGGATGTGGTATTTGAATGAACTAATAACTCATTTGTACTTATTGAATGCCTGATTTCGAATTCTAAATACAGTACATTCGTTCGTGCTTATCTAGTAGTTCTTGATCCACTTACGTGATTTCTGGGATTATTAGTTCATACTATAATTCAAATACTTCTAATTATCATAGAATTCTTCTTCTGCATGGTTACTCTTTTGTTCTTTCACTTAGCTTACTAATACAGATGCTATTGGAAATCAACTCATATGGACAACTTACCGGAATAAGTCTTATTTGACTCCGTAGTTTAAACCAAAAATAACACCAGTGGTAACATTTCTACAATATTAGTTCTTTTTAATGTTTTTAAACATGAAATACTTGTACTACCTGTAAGTTAAGCTATTTTCCAACGGCTATTACTATACATTTTACAATGATTTATTAAAATATCTATAAAAGAAATCATTCTTGATTGTTATAGCCCCACTTTCTTGAACTCCTACATGATCACCTGACTTTCAATTTTTGGCGTGTTATGAATAATTTCAAGCATTTTGAAATTACTATAAACATTTCACGATCAGTTTTTGCCGCTCTCTTCTTGATTTATTTTCCAGCGTATCAATACCCGAAGTACTATTATTTTTCTTGGTAATCTCCGGCGCGCGACAATCCCATTCAATTCGGTATCGAGCTAACTTTACGTTGATTCTAGTGGGAGAATAGTGTAGTGGCATTGGTCTCTAAACACACAATCCTCAAAGCTGAACGCGAGAAAAATGGAAAAATAGATGTTCAACATTCAACGTAGGAAAAAACCCAACAATGGAGAAGAGGGGAAGAATTCACTCAATTGAATTCAATCGAGTGGCATGGCTCAGCCTTGAAGGAGTAGTCACTATGTATGATTTGTTTTCACTCATTTTAAATATATTGTTCTATTTCCAGCCTGAAAGTGTTCTCTATCATATATTGGTAATTGTTATGATACGATGAGTCAATGTAAACAATGATTTGACTTTCACGTAAGATCTTATAGATTAGGCAGTTACAATGTGACAAACCTACAATTCAAGGATTAGTCTATTATTAGAGCAGTACTAATAACAAAGTAGAACCAAATTATACACTTCGCTTCCACGCGTGCAGGGACATAAAGACATAAGGTTAATAGTAATTTGCTACTTCGAAACAACTACACATTGTAACGCAGCACTTGCCGGAAGTTTCCATGCGTTATGGTTACTTCGCCGAGCATTCGGGTGATTTGATGAGGTGTTTCCAGTTTAATATGCCACCTATGTAAGACCGAAATTGGAGTACTGTATCCAAACATCCGGTTCATGTCTTATTAAGCATAATTGCTCACTTTAGCGTGTTTAATGTGTAGTGTGGCGTCGAGTCACGTTTGACTATGATCACCACTACAAGATGATGGCGTACCAGGACAGGCTGAACCTCCAAGCAAACCAGAAATCAGAAGGCGATTGAAGGTTGTAGCAAGTTATATTTGTTGGCGATCTCGAGGTATCGAAATAATATCAAGATCGTGCCAAATGAGTACAAGTGGAACTACTGGGCGAACGTAAGTTCGTGTAAGGTCACAAGCAACCGAAGAATGTAAGTGCTTAGTACAGCTAAACAAACAAGTACAGTGAGACAATCACTGGTAAAATTCGTCATAATAATAATTGTTTCAATTGTACCAATCGCGTTCCCTTGATGAAAGTAGGTCACTACAACTGTATGGGGAAAAATTAGTCAGGAGTATTTCTAAACTTCCTTTACGATGAACGCTTAAAACGCCTAAAACATTTCCCACTTCGGCATCTTCAGAAGGATACGAGGTGACCTTACTTTGGCATTCCATTTCTGTAATTACGATTCGGGTATTAAGTTGTCTTACTCCCTCCAGAGCTAATCTTCAAGGTCATAGCAAGAAGGTTCAGAACTACGACTTAATGAACACGGAAAGGTTCCGTCTTTCTCATGGAGTGGTCATTGAGTGAAATGTTTTAACCGAAGAAGTAATATCAGCCTCGTTAGTGAACATCTTCAAGGAGAAGCTAGACCTTCATTGAAAAACAAACTGTAAGGATTAACACAGGTCCACCAACCTACTAACCTTATCACTGAAGACTGAAACTCTGAGATTTTAATAGCGCCTCTGTTAAACCCTGTCAAGGTCATGATCGTGCTGTTGTCCCATGAGCTGGGCTAAAAAATACCTGTTTTGGATCTTCAAGGTTTCATGAAATAAAATATATAAGTAGTATTTTTAGGGGTCCAAAAAGTCCATAGTTGATCAACTAGAGGACATTGATGATGTAAGTTTTTTGACATTTAATTATCGACAATTAGGAAATTTTGGAACTGGAAAGTGATCGGTCTAACAGTATAGACTCAGAAAAACAATTCGTTTTCCGACTGATTTTATACTCATTCATATTCTTCGGCTTGAGTTTTATAACAGTTTATTACTACTACTGGCCAAGTACAGTAGCTGGAAAGGTGGTGATATGTGTGATATTTGCTGTATATCCTTTTTGGTACTCATATTTAAAGCTGAATAACTTTTTAGTGTATATTTCATGAAGTATATCTTTCGGATTATGTTCACTAGGCGCGTAAATAAGACGGGTTAGTGTTGTGGTGTTTCCTAAATTTGTTTCTAGATGAAAAACTAAAAAGGCTCCGGGCTGATAAACAGAAATTGGTGCGTTTTAATAGATGTATTTATTTTTAATGCAAGTTAGAAGAGGTGATGGAAAAGGAGACCTTCAATAAGGCCCAACAAATCCTCAAACGTTTTGATCCATTAACATTTGCTTCTTTAGCTGTTGAGGTAAGAGAATGTATCTTGTCATTTGCACTAAGCAGGAAAAGAAGACCCCCAAACCGGTTTTCGGATCGATGATTAACCTCGTCACTCCTCATTCTGAAGTACGCCGTAGGAATAATTCGGGGGATAGACATTTAACTCCAGGATTATTAGGTAGGAATACTATTTTCAAGCTGAAGCTTGCAGGTTGATTAATTTTGTATTCGATAAATTTTTGTTGTTTCTATATATTTTAAGTTCTCGTATTAAAAACTGAAAAAATAAAGGATATGAATTTTTCTCATTTCCGTAACATTTCAGAACATTGTTTATGTATTTAGATATGAATTCGGTGAAACTATAATTCATGGACGACCTTGAAATGTCCACGTATTTACTACGGTTAAGTGAGGTTTATAGATTAGTGTGAGAAATTAGGATTCACCGTTGGGGTTGGGTATAATATTTTATGTTTTTATCACGAACTGACAACTATAATGCCAAAATGGTATTTAAATGAGAACGAGTTTTACGCCGAAATTCAAGACCTATTTTTAATCTGATTGGTTCGTCCACAAACTATAGTCTCAACACAAATTCCTTCACAAGTCTTTATACACCTGCAGATAACTGCCTACTACCATTCTTTTGACTTTGGTTGTCTATACCACGACGCGCAATGCTAACCGGTGTTAGGGATAATTGTAAGAAAGTTAGGGGTGGCCAAACCAAAACGTGGCATCAGTTCTTGAAGTCACTAACTTCTAGTCTGAGCCATGTTGGTAAATGCAAACTACCTGGTTGGGGTCCGCGTAACTGTCACAACCAATTGTTGGAGACTGTGTGACATGGCTCAGAATCGATCACAATGGCGTAGGTGTATACACTCTCTGTCTTGCTTTAAACTAAGAGATTAAAATCGCTTCATATATTTCTTTCTTCCTGTACTATCTCCTTATATGCAATCTTTCTTATATATATTACCACCACTGAATTAACTACTTCCATGAATCCGGTGTTCATCTTGTTGTGCTAATGCGGTATGGCAACTTGGACCGATGCATATATGTGCCTGGTCCTGCGTTGCAGCTGACTGACTGACTGGTCGTCTATGCCAAATCGGACACTGGTATTTAGCAGCTGATTGTCATATTTTCAAAGTGTAGTATATAGTGTTAAGATGTAGTGTTCAACTGGATATAACTCCAAACGATCATGAGATAACCCCTAAAATGTGTGCAACTTAAAATCATTGCTTAGCGCCAAGACTAAAATTCAAAAGGCATTAACGGATACAACAATTATGGCTTAAAATGGTGACAGTAGTTTTTTTTGTTTCGTTGTCAGAAACATACGTTTTTTTTAATTGTTCAGTTTCATATCTGACCAAATAATCTACCTATAAGGTTTTTGGAATGGTTGTTGACGAAAGATTCATTCTGATCTTTGACACTAGATACTGCTCATGGTCTAGTACAGATATACAATTGTATATAAAAGCTAAGTATAATTTACATCAGTTTAAGTAACATAGTTTGACGGAATCCCGGCAAGAATTCAGAAATTTCGGTTGCCTTTTGTAAGCTTGTGTCACTTATGGCATAGGTGAGATATATGTCCACCAACTAAGAAAGATGAGTTAACCACCAAGCAGTTTACTCCGCTCTACTTTATGGGTGTGAAAAATAGCCATTATAAAGAGGAGATATTCGTAGGTTACTCGCATTCGATCGTAAGTGTCTTCGAAGCATCGTTCGTGTATTTTGGGATCTACGCTGAGGTTAGACATTGGATACTAGGTAGTAAATTTCCATCAACTGAGGTGTTTTAGAGGTGTGTTATTATTATTATTATTTTAACACATAAATATAGGTACAGGGAGGCACCAAGTACATATGCGCCACACGAATCTCAATCGATTTGTGTGAGGGCTGTGATACTGCCCGGGTGCCCAAACCGAAGCAGGTGGTTTTCTTAGGGGACCACACCCCGAGCCTTTGACCTGAAGATCTGATCCACAAGGCAGTGGAGCATCGTGAGGAGATGCAGTCCCATGGAAGCCGGTGACCAACGATTGGTTCATACGCCATTTGTTCCCTCAGGATACTGGGCCCCCAAATGCCCTGGTACGGCCGAGAGTGGGGAGAGTCCGCTCTCTCTCTCCAAATGCTCTCACATGGCCACGCGTACATAGCCTCTGCCAGGGAAGTCCTACTCACTGCCTTCACGTGGCGGGGGTGTTGTTTACGAAAATGAGAGGACGAGAAGCGAATGTCCGGCGCTTTAACCGGATCCCAAACCAATGGTGCACATGGGCTGGCTCCAGTATCCTGAAGGAACAAATGGCGTATGAACCAATCGTTGGTCACCGGCTACCATGGGACTGCATCTCCTCACGATGCTCCACTGCCTTGTGGGTCAGACGTTCAGGTCAAAGGCTTGGGGTGTGGCCCCCTAAGAAAACCACCTGCTTCGGTTTGGGCACCTGGGCAGTATCACAGCCCTCACACAAATCAATTGAGATTCGTGTGGCGCATATGTATTTGGTGCCTCCTTGTACCAATACCTATGTGTTAAAATAAATAATAATAAAATCAGGATACTGGAGCCCATGTGCACCATTGGTTTGGGGTCCGGTTAAAGCGCCGGACATTCGCTTTTCGTCCTCTCATTTTCGTAAACAACACCCCCGCCACGTGAAGGCAGTGAGTAGGACTTCCCTGGCAGAGGCTATATACGCATGGCCATGTGAGAGCATTTGGAGAGGGAGAGTGGACTCTCCTCACTCTCGGCCGTACCAGGGTATTTGGGGGCTGAAATAGGAAGAATCTAAGAATGACCAGACCGAGACATAGCACCAGTCCATGAAGTGGTTGACAACTGGACTGAGCCACATAAACAGGTGTAAACTGCCTGATCGGGGTCAGCATGATTACGGTAACCAAGGGTTGGAGATTTTTTGTGATATGGCTACTGACTTTTCTCGATGGTTCAGGTGCATTCTCCTTGTCCCGAAATCTTACACCCTTCTTCATTTTCTATTCCTAACCTTCTACTACTACTACTGCTACTCTGGGACTTGTGTTAAAATAACTATCTGGACGTGTTAATGTAGTATGCCAATATGCATGCCCACATGTCAGATTCTACACTCCGTATAACTAACTGACTGACTGATAATATTTTCATCTTCAGCATGATACAATGCTATTGTTTCCGTTTGACAGAAGTGCAATTTCATTTTATTTAGCCCTAATTTATCAAGAATTTTTGCACCACATATTTAGATAGATAGTTCTTGCAGACGAAATTGCCAATCAGCATACCACCCCATTTTGATTGGATAAACAGTGAGACTTTTCATCTATCCTATTCATGGCTCTTGTCTATCAATTATTACAAGTCATTATAGTTGGTTTATCAATTTCATCCCAATACACTCGGCATTGAGTCATACTGTTATTGTGAGATATAGCAATCCTACTCCAATTCTTAACGTAATTAGCACTTGAAATCTAACGGAAAATCAAATTCTACAGCTAACTCGGGCTGATGCATTTTTGTACCATGCTCTACATTGATTGTGAGTAACTGAACCGTCAACGCACGGTTTCAAAATCATTAATTTTGTAAACTAAGGCAAGTCGAATCAACGTTCAGTATCTGGGCCTCATAATGAAAAATAAATCTTGAAAGTCCAGTAAATAATTGTATAAAAATACTTTCGGTCACATAGGATAATTGATAGAGTTAGTGCTTCCCATTTGGATCAGTTTTAAGATAGGATTTGACGAATTTCGGTTGGGTCAAATCAATAATCATTGAGTTGATAATGCAATCCCATAAGTTCAGATCCCCATCTACGATACATTTTGAGCTGTATTTGGTTCGAGTTAGTGACGTATATATTTCAATTTTAATAATTTTTGTCCTTGATTTCACTGACTGGATGCATAGTGGTTTTCATTCATTCAATATAATCAGTTTAGTGATCAATTTTTATCTCCATTCCTATTGTTGTTGTTATGAACTGAAGTAAAATGGTTGAACTAATTCTGTTATAGGGAACAAGATCTATGCTAACTGGGTATATTCGACGATTTTTATTTATTTGTTTATTTAAGCACATAAACATTGGTACCAAGGAGGCACTGAAATATATACGTACCACACAAATAACTGAGTTTGTGTGTGGTCTGGGATACTCCTCAGCTGCTCAAACCTAATTAGGATGGAGCCCCCAAATGCCCTGGTACGGCCGAGAGTGAGGAGAGTCCGCTCTCCCTCTCGAAATGCTCTCACATGGCCACGCGTATATAGCCTCTGCCAGGGAAGTCCTACTCACTGCCTTCACGTGGCGGGGGTGTTGTTTACAAAAATGAGAGGATGAAAAGCGAATGTCCGGCGCTTTAACCGGATCCCAAACCAATGGTGCACATGGGCTGGCTCCAGTATCCTGAAGGAACAAATGGCGTATGAACCAATCGTTGGTCACCGGCTACCATGGGACTGCATCTCCTCACGATGCTCCACTGCCTTGTGGGTCAGACGTTCAGGTCAAAGGCTCGGGGTGTGGTCCCCTAAGAAAACCACCTGATTCGGTTTGGGCACCCGGGCAGTATCACAGCCCTCACACATATCCAATGAGATCTGTGTGGCGCATATGTATTTGGTGCCTTCTTGTACCGATATCTATGTGTTAAAATAAATAAATAAAATAATAATTAAGATGGAAGTCTAATACACAGCACTTTTACGATGATTCGCCTTTTCGTGATTAAAATAGAGAAAAGAGAAGTATTGAGAGGAAGACGTTATGGTGAAGACTCCAAAAAAAGTTAGGGAGTAAAACTACGTTTGTATTAATCAGTAATCATCAGTAAACACAAATCATAGTGAAAATATATTAATAGTTCATGACGTAACATAGTGGAAATGTATTAAAAGTTGACCTTAAATTCACCTTGAATCGATATTGATTTGCCGATTTCACATTTCCAACAGTCATAAAGTATGTAATGAAATTACATGCTTATATTACAAACTCTTAATACAAATATAATCAGATAGAATAAACGAGATTGTATATAATTCATTGCAATTCAATGATCTTTTTTTTTAAATAGGTTCAAATTTAACTACTCAGTCGAGTACCCCTGTGATCGGGAGTAATCAAACACCATATTCTAAAAAACCACGGTTATTAAGACCGCTTTTACCTAGAGAACGTTCAATTATTGATAAAGTTTTAGATGCATTAGTTGGTGATGGTCCCGATAAACGATTTGCACTAATTTGTAATGAATGTTCATCACACAATGGAATGGCATTACAGGAAGAATTTGAATATTTAGGTTAGTTTACTAACAATTCAAATAATATAGTTTTTTTTGTGAAGTGTTGAAAACCATTTTGTTCCCTGCCAAATACCGTTAATTTTTTTGACATTTCTTTGATCTGGTACTGTTAAGATAGAATAGTTGTAAAGTGATAGATGGTGAATAACCAGCTGAACTTATGTCGGGTTACTGTTTAATGCTTAGTTATTAAAGGAAACCAATGTGATTTTATGTGGACTTACTTACTTACGCCTGTTCTCCTAATGGAGCATAGGTCGCCGACCAGCATTCTCCAACCCACTCTGTCCTGGGCCTTCTTTTGTAGTTTCATCCAATTCTTGTTCATTTTTCTCATGTCTATCTCCATTTCTCGGCGTAATGTATACTTTGGTCTTCCTCTCCTCCTTCGACTTGAGGATTCCATATAAGGGCTTTTCTTGTGACGCAGTTGGGTGCTTTCCTCAATGTGTGCCCTATCCACTTCCAGCGCTTCTTCCTGATTTCTTCCTCCACTGGAATCTGATTTGTTCTCTCCCACAGTAGGTTGTTGCTTATAGTGTCCGGCCAGCGGATCTGAAGTATTTTGCGTAGACAACTGTTAATAAACACCTGTATCTTTTGGACGATGGATTTCGTAGTTTTCCAGGTTTCCGCCCCATACAGTAGAACTGTCTTGACATTTGTATTGAAAATTCTGACTTTGGTGTTGGTTGCCAATTGTTTTGAGTTCCAGATATTCTTCAGTTGTAAATATGCTGCTCTTGCTTTTCCAATCCGTGCCTTCACATCTGCATCAGATCCACCGTGTTCATCAATGATGCTGCCCAAATATGTAAAGGTTTTTACATCTTCCAAATCTTCTCCATCAATTGTGATTGGATCGGTGCATGCTGTGTTGTACTGGAGAATCTTTCTTTTCCCTTTGTATATATTGAGACGTATTGCTGCTGAGGCTGCTGCTACACTGCATTTGTTATTGCGTGTGCGATAGAAGAGTCAAATCATCTGCGAATTATAGATAATCCAACTGCATCCTAGATGTCCACTGTATCCCGTGCTTCCTTTCAGATGTTGACGTCTTCATGATCCAGTCGATCACCAGGAGAAAGAGAAAGGGTGAGAGTAAGCAACCTTGCCTGACACCGGTCTTTACTTCGAAGGAGTTTGTCAACTGTCCTCCATGAAGGATTTTGCAGTTTAATCCATCATAGAAATTCTGTATGATATTGACTATCTTCTGAGGCACGCCGTAGTGTCGAAGAATCTTCCATAGGGTTGTTCTGTCCACGCTATCAAATGCTTTTTCGTAGTCAATGAAGTTGATGAAGAGTGATGAACTCCATTTAATTGATTGTTTCACAATGATCCGTAGAGTTGCGATTTGGTCTGTACACGATCTATCCTTACGGAATCCTGCCTGTCGGTCTCGAAGTTGGGTATCTACTGAGTCCTTCATTCTTTTTAACAATACCCTGTTGAAGACTTTTCCTGGTATTGAGAGAAGAGTGACTCCACTGTAGTTATCACAGTTGCTGAGATCGCCTTTCTTTGGTATCTTGACCAGAAGTCCTTTCCAGTCTTTTGGTACTTATGTGGAAGTAGGAACTAATTAAAAAAATAGAGAACACGCTTGCCTATGTATAAAATGTAATTAAATAAACCCAAAGTAACCAAAGATCAGCTTTCCACCAATTATTTCGAATCCCAATTCATGTAAGTAACGATTTAGATTGTACTACTATCTTAAGGGATGTAGTGTTACCTGATTTAATCATACGAAAGTAGCGTACATCACGGACTAATAAACATTGAAAACGTGTAAATAATGTTCTATCTCAAAATTAAGGCTCCTTATTATGGACGTACCACTTAGCCGGAGATGGAAAATAAAATCTCTGATCGTGCACATTACATTTAGACCACCAATACATCATTGAATGTTCCATATCTCCAAACTAATTGAGTTCAGAATGTTGCACGATCATTATTCAATTCTACTGTTGATAAATGTTTCATTTTGGACATAGTTATACTCCATTAGTGGCGGTTTCCTACTAGGAATCTTTAATTTACTTCCAAAGTCACTACCAATAGAATGAGTATTATTAAGAAGATAAAGCGGTGTAGATTACATGATTTGAAGACAGTCCACATCATGGACTAGCTTTGACTGTGTTTGGGATAGGGATAGGAATATCTCCTGAATTCATAGATGAAAATAAACGAAACAGTTTGCAAACCTACATCCCATTGATCAAAAGTCGATGACTTCAACTACTGAACTAGCCCATGTCATATATTAATTAGTAAACATTTAAATTCAATCTATTATCAGTCGCTGCGTAAAAGAACAATGTAAATATCATTAGCACATTCTTGACAACTAACTTTGAACTTCATTTCAAACGTAAAAGATACTAGTAGTCATTTGTGGGGAAATTTCATTAGATCACTTTACTTTGAAGTTTGCGCTGTTGATGAATGATGTTGTTTACTAATACAATCGATGTAGTGTGTGCTGCGTATACGGACAGATATAAGTAGTAGGTGTTAAGATTTGGAAGTAGGATTCTTACATATAGAAGAGGAAAAGAGAAAGAAAATCAAATACAGTCCGAGTACTAAAAAGAACGAAAGGACGACAGAACGTGTAAGTGACAATTCAAGGACGATGTGCAAATGATGCATTCAATGTATTATTTTCATATTTTACAAATGCAGTGCATGATTTTACATAATACAATAAATTGGTTTACCCTACTGTTAGCTGAACATAGATTAGATTAAAGCATGCTCAATGCACGATTGCTTTGGCGCACGCTGATTGGCTAATTTTTATCCAATCAGCGCTAGCCGATGCTTGGAGAATATTCTGGAATCTTCTCATGTAAAAAGTAGAAATATACTAACGTTTTTCCTATTGTGTTTCTTACTTCCATCTAACCTTTTTTATTTGGAATATAATCTCCTTCCTGTTCAACCGTGATCTGATTTGGGGACTTGTCGAGTGGAATTGGTGTCCGTAAATACTAAGCTATAGGTATAGCTGGGTTATAACCGTACGAGAGAATTATAACACCTACATTCGTTCATTATATCAGAACTTCATGTTAAGACTATTCAATCCAAAGGTTACACCACCATTCTAATCCCCTCTTTATAGTATAAATCTCCAATGTCCTCTAATAATCTTATGAATATCAGAGTCCAGTTCATAAACTATGCACTTTTATGTTGATTACCTTGAAAAAAGTACTTTGTAACTAACTAAATCCTAGGTATTTTCCGACTAAATTATGTCCTTAAATCAAACGACCACAATTATTTCGCTATTTACAATTTATATATATATATATATATATATATATATATATATATATATATACTTGTTTATGCCTTATAATTATCTTTTTTTCTTTATCTTCATGCCTTCCCATATTTCCACACGGACACATCTCAACTACACAAAACTGTCTTTCTTTTCTTTTTTTTTTAAGCATTTCGATGTTGTTATTGTAATCATTTTAATCCAGCACGTCGTACACGATTAAAGATGGGATTATCAATAGAAAATATAGAAAATATAAATGATCCAATAGATAATTCAAAGACAACAACATCTTCTTTACTATCCAATAAATCTAATCTTAAAAGAATGAATGAAAAGATTCAAAATTCCAATACTAATTTATATAATCATAATGATAGTGATAATGATAGTGTTCTTAGTAATGAGACTGTAGTTTATGATTCTCATGATATCTTAACTAATCAATCTAATGAACAATTGAATTTAAAAGATAGCGATCATGTTGATAAGTTTAAAGAATCCATAGAATAAAATAATCGGGTTCAGGAAGATCTATATATTATACATTTACTGTAAGGCATCTCCTTCTTCCATATATACATATGTAAACATCGTTTCTTTATTTCGATAGAAAAAAAAAACTATATTCCCGTTTATTTTTGTTTATCATTCATGAAGAACATCTTGATTTCCAGTTCATAAATCATTTAATTGGTTGTTATGCTTGTTCATATATTACTTGGTCGAGTATGTATATACATACATACATACATACATGCATACACTGTACATCTTTCTATGTTTACCTGTTTATTGACTGGAATCTGGAAAGTTTTCTGTTTCCATCCTGTTCTCCACCCTTTTTTTTGTTTTTGGAAATATATACCTCCCTGAGTATTATCTCTGTATTTTTATATGAATTGTGATGATACTAATTGTTGAACTTTGAGTGATTATATCTTGTTTTTTTGTTTGCTTGTTTGTTTGTTTGTGTTGTATGTGTATGTAGACAGATTATTTGCTCTTTTTTTCAACTAATCTTTCTCTCTCTCACATCAATATATGTCAACCATATGTTTTCAAACTATTGCACTAAATTCAATTTGTAATAATGATATGTGGTTACATGTCATTCTTTTTTTTTGTGTGTGTGTTCTGTTATTGGTGTCTCAACTAAGCACAAATGTATGAATCGATCCAACTTGGAATGTTTTACATTAACACAGCGAAAATATAAATTGGTAACATTCAGTCTTTGGTACGTTTGTGTCTTGCTTGAAAGGTACCTTGTGTGTGTGGAAGAGTGCGAGAGATAATCTTTAAGGGTAAATAATAAGAGAAGAATTGATCCAACGTCTCAATAAATAACAGGGTGCACGCACACTTAACAAGAAAAGTATTTGGCAACAATTGTAAATAACACAAGTACGAGATTGAGACAATCTGATGACCGAAACTAGAAGTTGGTGACTTAAGGTTACGAAAGTGTTACGGACTAATCAGATGTTAAGAATTTATTTTAACACATAGGTATTGGTACAAGAAGGCACCAAATACATATGCGCCACACAAATCTCATTTGATATGTGTGAGGGCTGTGATACTGCCCGAGTGCCCAAACCGAACCACGTGGTTTTCTTAGGGGGCCACACTCCGTGCCTTCGACCTGAAGATCTGATCCACAAGGCAGTGGAGCATCGTGAGGAGATGCAGTCTTGTGGTAGCCGTTGACCAACGATTGGTTCATATGCCATTTGTTCCTTCAGGGTACTGGAGCCAGCCCATGTGCACCATTGGTTTTGGATCCGATTAAAGCGCCGGACATTCGCTTTTCATCCTCTCATTTTCGTAAACAACACCTGTGGTGTGAAAAGGCAGTGAGTAGGACTTCCCTGGTAGAGGCTATATATGCGTGGCCATGTGAGAGCATTTGGAGAAGGAGAGCGGACTCCCCACTCTCGATCTTACCAGGGCATTTGGGGGGCATGTTAAGAATACAGAAAAAGTCTCAAAAAAGAAAACTGAGTTTAAACAATGACAGAGAAAAAGTATAGTATCGTGACGAGTCAGTCAGATTCTACAGTGGAACTTTTGAGTTTCTGAGCAAAATTTCAAATATCACATATAATGAGTGGTAGATGTAATTTTGTATACCGCTCAAAATGGTAGCAAAAATTACTGTTTGCTACCATAGGCTAAAAACGATAATGTTAAACGTATTGAATACTCAGGTCTGTATGTTGATTGTATGTGAGTGATTATCCCAGTGATTGGCGTTTTCCAACAAGGTTATTTCCTACAGTATAAGGTCGTTAATCGCATCTCCAACCATTCAACTTTATCTGGGATAAGAACAGATGATAACCATAGAAGGACTAGAGGCAGCGTAAGTTTATCCGACACTAACCCTAATCTTGAAATAAACCTTAGCTTGGTGGTACTATATCTCTCTAATAAAGTAACGTTTTGTTTTTGTGCACGAAATTCATTCATATGGTTACAGTGCATTATTGCGTTGTAGGTGGTGTTAGTTCGTGATGAAAGCTCTAACTCCGACCCTCACTCTAAATACCTAACCCTATGAACAATCCATGGACTTGAAAAGCCTATTTGAGTCTTTCTAAGGATTCGTGAAGACGAAAAATCGATATCCACAAAGATGAATTCATACCGTTTCTTCAGTTTTAAAGGCAGAGTAACTTGTCAAAGAACAGTAGATTTATCATATAAAATCTGTTTAAACATTAATATCACTTTTCTTTTTCATAATCTATCAGTCTATAAAATCTATTTGCGGATTGGCTATAAACTGGCTAAGAGAGATGATCGCGACTGTGTCAATCTCATTTATATGTTATACCCCTATTATAGAAGTAATCGAATAATACTTCACTTGCAATTTAGGATAAGATTAAAAACAATTCAGTCAATGTGTTTGTTTCAGCGTAACTAATTTTTAGTCATATCGCTTGTGATATTCGGTCATTGATTAAGATTATATGCAAAGATAAATAGTAGTTAGCAATGGAATCTAGGACGCATGTTTCGTTCTATTTGGGACTCATCAGCTGGATGTACCTGCACTTCAAAGTTAATGTTCAGCGTGGGGCTCGAACTCATTACTCTTCGCTCCATCTTTGCATATAATGCTTGTGAATTAAGGCGATATCGAGACAATACGCACAGTAAGCACATATGCCAATAAGAGACTGATCAACTGCAGTCCTAAACATCAATGGTAAGATTCAAACAAACAATACCAAGTAAATTGATTATCATTATTTCACTGACTCATTACTAGGATGTAAACATTTCCGTGTTAGGTACTTATCAAGAGCCTGTAATATCCTGGTGAAGTAGTTGGGCGTGTCGACCGCTTTACTTATCTTGAAAGTCTCATCAGCCCTTGTGGTCTAGTGTGTGACGAAATCTCAGCACGAATACAAAAGGCTCATATAGCTTTTGGCAACTTGTGTCATTTGTGGCGTAGGCGAGATATCCCTCTATCAAACAAAGGACGTGTTTACTGCTCAGCAGTTCGTTCCGTCCTACTTTATGGCAGTGAAACATGGTCGGTAATAGTAGAGGATATTCGTAGGTTACTAGTATTTGATCATAGATGTTTTCGAAACATTGCTCGTATATCCTGGGACCACCGAGTAAGTAATGCAATTATTAGGAAACGGATATTAAGTGAGGATGGCAAGTCAATTGATGAAGTAGTGAAACTTCATCAGTTAAGATGGCTGGGACATGTGTTGTGTATGCCCAACCACCGACTGCCCCGACATGCGATGTTTTATGGTGTAGCAATAAGTTGGAAGAAAGCTAGGGGCGGCCAGACCAAAACATGGCACAAATCCATGAAGTCACTGACAAGTGGACTGAGTCATGTTGGTAGGTGTAGACTACCCGGTTGGGATCCGCGAGATGATAGGAACCGATGGTTAGAGACCTTGAATGACATGGCTTAAAATCGTCTGCGATGGCGCAAGTGCATTCACTTTTTGTGTTCACCAAAATTCTAATCTGAATTCTTCATGTCCCTTTCTTTTTCCTCTATCCAAATTTATTTCACTGGATTATACTCCTTGAATAATATCGTTAAACCTCAATCTCTCCTATTACTGCTTATACTTTTACTACCTCTACCCTTATGGGATTTGAATCGATAACTGAATCTCTGTGCTAATGTGGTGTGGCAACTCGAACTGATGTACGTACGTACGAAGTTCCACGTTGGTACTGACTGACCTGGTACTTTGGTGACTCAGATTGCTGACCTATCCATTTGGTCAATGTTAGAGAAGTAAAACACACCTATATATAATTTCATTAGATTTTTTCCATAGTTATTGTTCTTGTTTTAGTAAACTGTGTTTGTTATTTTTTGTTTATTCATGTAATCAGTTCAAAACCTTTACCTACCTATGTACACCTATAGATGTAAATGAATTCTTGTATATATTTGTTTAACAATCCTACTACATTAAATAGATGGATTGTATATTATGGAGAACATTTGGCATACAAATGATGACTAATTCCATAGAATTCATAAACTAATGGACTTACTGGCCATATTCACTAAGTTCGTTTTGAAGACTGGTATCTGTGACAATTTTTTAACCAATACTACTTCATGTTGTGACTTGTCTATTATTATACTCGTGACAATTTCAGTACCTATGGTATCCATGTCAATTGTTTATATGATGTTGATTTGGTCAATTTAATTAAATGCATCGAATACTGACTAGTGTCTTAATGTCTAGCTTAATACTTTACTATACTATCGACGAAAACCATGTGAAATTTTGATGTTCATCTTGATCGATGACCAAAGTAATCGATTTCCGAAAAAAAAGTCACAGGTTCAGCGTAAGGCTAGTGCAGTTTAAGCAACATAGAAGTACTGTGGTGTGCGCTTCTTGCGTCGATAGGTATAAGTAATATGTAGCAAGAATAAGAAGTAGAATGAAAAGAACAGTGATAATAGTAATAACAAAACGATTAGGAGAATGATGGAACGTGTAAATGACAACTGAAGGAAGATATGCAGATGATGTATTTAATGTCTAATTCTCATAACTTACAAAGGCACTGTGTTATTTTGCTTAAAACAATAAATTAGTTCACTCCACCAAGTCATTACTCATTGCATTATCAGCTCCCAAATGACTTGTGACTTAAAACTAAATACATACACTTGTTAATTTGTATAAATATCAAACAAATATTTATACCGAAATACAAGAGTTTTGATAGACACTTTATTTAGATGATCACTCTGAGATGGTAGAAAAGATTTGCAGCTACTGTGGATGATTTTGATGGAGTTTTGTTCTTTGAGCTAGATGGTTTGATTGTGGAGCTTTCATCGTTCTTCTGAACAACATCATCAGCACAAACTTCAGATAGAGTTATCTTTGACTTCTATCTGAAGTTTGTGCTGATGATGTTGTTCAGAAGAGTGATGAAAGCTCCACGATCAAACCATCCAGCTCAGAGAACAAAACTTCATCAAAAAGATGATCACTCTTATTAATCCCACTAATTAGAAGATATTTATATTCTTTAAGTATTAGAGTATCGATTAGAGAGCTGTAAAACTACCTTCTAATACAAGTTTAAACTAAACTGGTAATTGGAATCAAAAAGTTCATTTATTCTATTTCTGAACAAGCTGATCATGAAACCGTGCAATATGATGCCCTATATTTTGTCGTCATTTAGATCGGACGATGTTTATTGACGGACTTTCCATTTTAGTGATCCATAGATCTGACTTCAATTAGGTCGTATGAATGTTTTTTATCGTCTATCCTCGTATATAATCATTGACTCAAATCGCGTTAGTCAATAACGGAATTAAATAAGTAAAATAACGAGAATGAACTTTTGAATACATATATCTTGTATATGAAGCGAATGGAATAGAGAGAAGAGAAACGACACGCAGTGGAGATGGTGGGTAAGCCAACTCCCCTTTAGTCAAGCATCAACCAACATTTATAGTCACACAAAAATAAGTTACAGACATGTGATGAACAAAGGGATAAGAAGTGTACATACACCTACGCGCTGATATAAAAAAACAGTTAAGATTGATAAGAGAATTATTAACAAGGTCAGAATGTGTAACTCAAGTAGAATGAATAGTAGATTGAGCTGTCCGAAGGCTAGAATAAGGTATATGGGCTTAATATAATAACCGACACTATAGTTACAATGTAGATTTAAAACAATCTCAGATTTA